GAAGAGAGAAGGTTACTGGTTCTAGAGAGAGATCAGAGAAATTGGAAAATCTGATTCAGAGGAAGGAGATGAGTGATACAGGTGAGTGGAGGGTTTTTCGAAAACTCTTTTTGCTTAACTCACGTTCGTTTGAACGAACGTCTCCCTCGCTGACACCTGCATACCAAACTCTGAATTGGAAGCTTCCAACGTGACAAGTGTCGTGTGTGCATGCAGAGCTTAGTGCGCAATTAATGCACTGGACGTGCGTCGCGGCTCATTGATGGAAGCTACTAGGTGAATCAGCAGTATCATAATTACTGATTTGACATCTAATTACGTTTTAAAATTTTCCGGGATCTCACATCAATCAATAACCCGTGATAAATAATATTTTTTATAAATATATATGTTGTAGTTAGTGTTAATTAAAATAACATCAAACATAGAGTGACTAAAAAAATTAGTATTTTTAGTGCGAAACTTCTAGACTTAAATATGAAGTAGTTTGTTATATTAAGTATGAGATTCTTAACACAGTAATGTTTAATTTGAAAAAAATAAAAGAGAAAAATTACTTTCAAAGTAGAAAATGTTTTAAAAAATATTTTGTGTAATTATTACTAGTAATTCTTAATTTGAATGGAAAACCTTAGCTTTAATAATATTTGATTGTACTTTGCTATTAATTTTAGCACGACACCACAAATATCATAGTTTTTTCTTCTTAAGTTGTCTTCGTCTTATTATCTTTATTTATTTGAATGAGATGATTGTGAAAATGGTGATGAAGCCACCAATACAATGATAATGATGGAAAACGCAACCACTACCTCTGTCAATGAAGAAAGAAGATTCTATCAATTAACAAATAAAATTACAAGCTTTATTAGTGCTGCCTTATTTCTCAACGATTTTTTTTTTCAGGGTAAGAAGATATTTTTCATGGATTTTTATTTTGAGTAGAAAAAGTATTTCCGATGAAATAATTTCCACCGATATTGTTTTTAGATAAAAAAAAGTTGTTTCCCATGATTTTTTTCCCACAGATTTTTCGGTCATAGATAAAGTTGATACTTTTCAAGTCTCATTTCCAACAAATATTTTTGTGAATAAAAAGGGATATGTTCACGCTCCTTTCCATACATGTGTTCATGAATAAAGTTAAACTACCCATAAATCATTTCCCATCTATTTTTTTTTCATAAGTAAATAATTTTCTGTGAAATCTTTCCACAGATTCTTTAACATAGAAAATTTGATTATTTTACACAAATATTTATCATGAATTATGTGACATAGATAAATAAATTATTTTTGTGAAATATTATTTATAAGATAAAATTTATATTAAAGAACATCATCTCTTTTATTTTTATTATTGTTGAAGAATGTGAAGTTCATCTTCACATCTTTTCCTCCATTTTCAATCTCTTCTTTTAAAAGTGAAGTTCATTCTATTTGTTTATCTCCTTTGTCTTCTTCTTTTCATTTTGTTTTTATATTTTGTTCATCATCACTCGTTCGAAAGAGCTCATGTCTTTCCGTGCAAACCTGAAACCTCCATAAATAAAGTACAACTGTATTCATTCTTGAATTATTGGGTATGCAAAGAACTATTTTTTTTCTGATTTTTTTGTTAATCCATTTTGGTTTTTATTGAACGAGAACCATCTTGTAATTGTTTCAAGTAGTGTGTGTATTGATTAAGAGATTTGGTATTAGGAGTTATCCTGACGCTCTAATAATCATCAAATGTCAGGTAGAGAAGGGTAAAGTATGTGGTGAGAGAAACAAGAGATCCTAGTATAGAGATTTTACCTTAACCATAAATGGTTGACGAACTAACCTTGTGTGTGCTAGTTTGGGTGGACAAGTTGTTCCACCACCACAAGTGCATAACTCTTAGAGTTTGACATCAATACATGTATCCAAAGGTAAGACTAGAATAAATGATTTTATATAAATTGTACATCTATTAATATCTTTGTTTGTATTACATGATTTTCTCTTTTTGGTAAATTCGCTTACCTTTCTATCTTTGTCTGTTTGTATGTTTGTCTTCTATTTTATAGTGATCACCTTAATGATGTGAGTGAAAAAACACATAAGATACTATTCTTAGTTTTCTATATATATTAGACTTTTTTTTATAAAACTCTATTACACTTTTGATTTTAGTCAGAGTATATATATATATATATATATATATATATATTTCTTTTAAGTTAAATGTTTTTTATTGAATGTATGGTAAATTTTTATTGTAATTAAATATTATTAAAATGGAATTTTTCAAAAATAATAATTGATTTATGAAACAATTAAGTATTGGAGTAGATATATGCATGTCTCTCAATCTAAATTAAGTAGGAAGATTTGTCAAAGAATGAAAGAGTTTTAATTACTTGTACTAGATGCTGGTTTTGTTCATTTTATACCACATTGAAATATTTTAGAAAAACTTACAATTGTACAAGTTGCAAATATTGTTTATGATATTTTCATTTATAAGCAATTAAATAATGTTTATTGTAATATTTAATTATCTCAAAGGATTTTCATGAATCTTGAAAAGATAGTATTATAATTATCAAGTAATTTAAAACACATAATTGCTCCGACCCTCATGAATTTGAATTAGACTGAATCTAGCTGAAAAATAAAAATACAGATTAATTATTGAAAAATAAAATCTGATTTATTTATTATTAGACTCAGAATGACTCGTATAATCCAATAATTTTAATTAAAAAAATATCCAAATTTAAATTAAAAAAATACATTGGCAAGAAATGAGTACTTTACTTAGAGAATAATACCAAATCCTAAATCTAATATATTCTTGTAGTCAAATTTATTCATTTGAAAGAACATAAAAATTAATTTGTAGATTTTTTTCCGGTAAAAGTGAGATTATATCCAGGCAAGTTGTAAAATGTGTTATAGTATATAAATTGTATCAACACACAAAAATATACGTTTTTTTTGGGTGAAAAGATACTTGAGACCAATAAAGATTTAATTCACAGATTTCATTTGATTTTTGTAACAATGTATAATTATAATTATTAAAAATTATATTAACTTTATTAAAAAAATATTATTTACTTAAATGTTACAAGAGAATCTATGAGAAGAGTTTGAGTATAAATTGAAATTAAAAAGTGTGTCCATTTTACATATAATATTACCACGAGTAAGAGACTGTCTTTTTTGTTCTATTTAATAATTGGAAATGTTGATAAAATAATTTTAAAAATTATTAATCAATATATTAAGACAATAATATTTAGTTATTACTTTTTTATATTTTTAAAGTTGTAAAATTTTATTGGCATATCTATAAATGAATGGATCTTAAAACAGATATATTTATAAATAATAACTTACAAGGATGGTTGCAAATCCTAAATTATTTTTATAACCTTTTAAGATTTTGGAACTAAGTATTTTTCATGTCATTCACAGAGGCATAGAAGATATATATGTGACATTCATGCATACACATGGGTTTAGTATTTTTAATTATCCATTAAATATAAATTTGTTTATGTTAACTTTTAAATTGAATAAATAATTTATTAGTATTGTATAATAAAATAATATTATTATATGATTAAAATTTACCATTAAAGTTTTAAGTTATATTATATTTACAATAAAATGAATATTATTATTATTATAAAGTAAAACGTAAATCTGTTATGAAATATAATCTAATGCATAATAAAAACAACAAGAAGTTTAGATATTGACATATGAATATCAATAATAATACTAATATTACTATTATTAATAATAATGATATTAATAATAATAATCATAATATTATTGTTAAAGTTAATGTTAATATTAATATTAATAATAATATTAATAATAATAATAAACAAAAAATATTAATAATATTATCTATAATAATAACAGTAATAATAAATATTTATGCTTATACTAATATTACTAATACTAATATATATAATTATTGACGCAAATAATAATACTGATACAAATAATGCTAATAATAATAATAATTATAATAGTAATTATTGTTCTAATATTAATAACAATAATAGTAATAATATTAATATTATTATTAATAATAATAGTAATAAATAATAAAAATAATGATAATATTAATAATTATAAGAATAATAATTAAATAATAATATTAAAAATAATTGTTATAATAACAATATAATAATAATATTAATAATAATAATAATTAAAATAGAAATAATAATAATAAGAATAAGAGTAAGAATAAGAAAAATAATAATAATATTAATAATAATATAATATGAGTGATATTTCTGTAAATAATGTAAGTGTTATTTTTGTGAATAATGAAAAGTAGTAGGAATATTTTGTGAGTGAGATTTTCGCATATTTTGATAAATCAAGTGTGTGTGTGTGGATGTGAGTTTATCTTGTATGAATTCTAACTTATGTTTGATAATGTATATGAAATTAGTTAGAATGAATAGTTATTGTTATAGTTGAGAAATATAATAGAGATAAAATAAGAAAATAAGATAGTCCGAGAATAATTGATATGAAAAGAAAAGGCGGTTGTGAGTTGAATAAATTTGATGGAGAAGAAGGAAGGATCTTGAAAGTAAACCCTAAAGAGAGAAGAGAAGAGAAGAGAAGAGAAGAAGGTGGAAGAAGGAAGGAAAATGGGAGATGTAGCAGATAAATTGGCGTATTTTCAAGCGATAACTGGTTTAGAAGATGCAGACCTCTGCACAGATATCCTAGCTGCTCACAATTGGGACCTCGAACTCGCAATCTCTTCCTTCACCACTTCCGTAAACCCCACCACCGACACCCCGCAACCCAACCCTAACAATCATCTTCCCTCCGAACCCGATCTCCAACCCCTACCCCAACCGCCGCCAGGTCTCGCCTGGAAACTCATCACGCTACCCGTTTCCGTTATTTCCGGCAGTCTAGGCTTGATCTCCGGCGCGATCGGCTTGGGCCTGTGGGCCGCTGGGGGAGTACTCTCCTACTCCCTCGGCCTGGTGGGCTTTGGCTCCACCCCTTCCTCTTCCTCCTCTGCCCCCTTGGTTTCCGTTTCGGCGGCCACTTCCGAGGCCATGGATTTTGTCGCCGCATTCGAGAGGGAGTACGGCTCTTCCGGACCCAATTTCGTTGGCGAGGGGTTCATGGACGCGCTCCAGCGCTCCCGGAATTCCTTCAAGCTTCTCTTTGTTTACTTGCATTCCCCTGATCACCCCGATACGCCGTCGTTTTGCCACAGGACTCTCTGTTCCGAAACCATTGCCGCCTTTGTGAACGAGAATTTTGTTTGCTGGGGTGGCAGCATTCGTGCCAGCGAAGGGTTTAAGATGAGTAACAGCTTGAAAGCCTCTCGCTTTCCCTTTTGTGCTCTCGTCATGGCCGCCACTAATCAGAGGATCGCTCTCCTTCAACAGGTTTGTTAATTCTTATGGATTTTTTGGTTTGGCGAATTGGAGTGAACTGGGTCAGGTTGAGAAACATATATGAAGTGAAATTTTGTATATTTGTTGTCATGATTACTCTTTGGGCAGGTTATAGTTTCTTTGATGTGTTTTGGCTTGCATTTTCTCTGCTCCTGTATGATTTAAGTAGTCACAGTCTGTGCGACTATATGCCTATTGTAGCTCTACTTAACGTCAGTTACATTCCCTCTATGCACATGCTTGCTCTCATCACTTTCTCCACTTTCTGAATTTGATTGCATTATGGATTTGTCGTCCTCCTCTTGCAACTTCCTTCAACCTCCCGCCTTCATGATCATCTGCTGTCACCGCTGCTGTACCCGTAGTTCTATAATGTCCTAGTTTTAGTGTTGTTAAATAGCTTTTATAGTGTCGTTGAATTCCTTAGCGTGATATTGTGGTCAGACTAGACAGGCATTGAGATATTTGGCGTTTTCTACAAGATTATCTCCTCTTGCTTCTCACAATAGTTTTCTTACTTGATATGCCTTGCGTTTATTGCGTGTTACCGATTCCAAGTTTAGGCATGCCCGTCATATTCACGCAGTTCAATGCTATTTGTTTAGTGGCTGAGCCAACCCCCAATTGCAAAAAATTGCATGTAAAACAAGGTTTACACTTTTAACGTTGTTAGAATTGGTAAGTTATGATAGATCAGACGGCGAAATTGGCTTTCGGCACTTCGTGATGTGACAACTAAGTTCATAATCTGTTAAAACATGGACAAAAGACTTCCCCCCAAAAAAATTCTTCATGTTATACGATTCCAGAGTAAGCTCGAGGATTTAAATGTCACTCTTGATGTTGTTTGGTCCTTGTTATTGTCAGAGAAAGGGATAATGACAAGTGGCAAATAATCTTGCTAGTTCCACACACAGTTTAAACACTAACAATGACATCCTTTTCAGAATCCTTTTATTAGGGATAACATCTTTTTCATTTTCTTACTGGTATGATATCTGTCTTCATACCTTTGAGGTTGTTATGAAGCTGAATAAAATTATCTAATTAGTTCCTCTTTATTTATTCTACAGAACTTGATTTCTAGTGCTAGAGCTACAACAAAAACAATTCACACTAACTTAGGTTTGCTACAGGAATCACATGGCACCATTCGGCACCTTTAAAACTAAGCTTTAGGAATATTTTTTACCATGAGATCTCCCTTGATGACTTCCTTCGATATCCTATTTGATTTTCCTCTCTTCCTTTTCACTAGACTAAACATATTGCAATCTACTTCAGTACTAGAATAATAGATCACAATAATCATCATTAGAAATACATTTTTGTAGGAGTTATAAGGTGGCTTGGTGGTAGAGTTGGAAGGGAGGGTGGGAGAGATTTTTGGTTCAACTCCTCCCACTAACATAATACTAACAACTAACATTTGCCAATAAAAAAGAACTACATTTTTGTATCAAGTACCTTTTTCTTTATCATGTAGTAAGAACTGATGTTGGCTAGATGAAGATTCACTCGATGTATGGAATGAGTTTTGGTCATTCAGTGCCTTGAAGCTGATTGTTTGATCTATGTAGCTATTCCTACCTAGTAGGATAGGGATTATTTGTCGTTGTTCTGCTAAGTTTTTAGTACTGTTTAAATGTTGGACCGGTTATTGAACTGGTAGAGGTGGATCAATGGTTAAGTTGTGTGAACTGGTATATATTAATTATATAAAAAATGCATGTAAGGTATTATATATAAAAAAAAAATTGGTATATAGATGAATACTAATATCACTGTATAAGTTGTCAAGGGAAGCTTAACCAATCCAAGGAGCTGGGTTCAAATTCTACCTTGTGTGGAGGTCTTTGAAACGTGGTAACGCTTTCAATCTTAGTAAATCATTTCCTTGGGAAGGCAAACTCACTCTGCATACAGGCTTAGTCTGTGTGCACAGGGATGCATGTCAGTTTTTGTTGGACAATGTGAAGATCCACTTCGCAGCGTCAAACTCATGAATTAAAAAATAAGTATTCTAAAACCAGTTTAGACCAGTTCAGTGACATATTCAATCCAATAAAGATATTAGACCTGCTATGCCACCAGTTCCCAGCCCAAATGGTTGGTCTTGCTCGGTTTTGTCCTTTGTCACTTGAAAATGTTTTCCTCCTCCCCAGTTAGTACAAAACACTTCTGCTTATGAGGAAGTTTTTGATTGATGTCAAGTGGTTATGCCACAAGTATGCTTAGGAAAACCGTATATAGATTCAATTCCATCAGTATTGTCAAAATATGTGAAGAATATTTCACCTCATGACATAAAAATATTGTATTTTAGAATGTTAAACCCAAGAGTAAGTACACTGAGTTTATGTCTTCATTACATAGACAAGACAGGCTTTTCCGCTGACAAGGAGTCTCCTGCATTCAGGCTTTGCACATTTGATTTTCCCTGACGAGTTTCTTAGAGTTATTTATTAGGCTTAGTTTCTCTATTGTCTCATAGTTCATTATTAGTCATTATGATGTAGTAGTTGTTAACTCTTCATGTTTTATATCACTTTGTAAGACAATATATTAAACCAAAATCATATCAATTTGATTGTATTTAACTAAGTATTCAGTCACTTTTATATCCTTTTCCTCCCTTTTTGTATACCTAAAGTAAAGCTCCATAAATTCAATAAGTAGTTTTTCTAGAAAGGCTTATTGAGTCCATATTTTTTTGTTTCTACTGAAATGGTGTGCCACTTATTGTAGTTGATAAAATATTCTGATTATGATGCTTTCATTGTTAATCTAGTTCATGTAATGCAGGTTGAAGGTCCAAAATCCAGTGAGGAGCTGCTAGGGACACTTCAGAGAGTGCTTGAAGAAAGTTCCCCTGTTCTTGTTGCTGCTAGACTTGATGCAGAAGAAAGACGAAATAATATGCGCTTAAGAGAAGAGCAAGATGCTGCATACAGGGCTGCGCTAGAAGCTGATCAAGTATGTTGTTTTTCAGTTTATGGTTTTTTGTTTTCATGTTTCGTATATTTTTTTGTGGTCTGCAGACAATGGCTTTTCTGTTTTTTGTATCTCAATTTTCTTTGCAGAGCCTTTTATTGAAAGAATAGGCCTGTTAGTGCTATGGATTAATGTTGTACATATGTTCAGGCTAGGGAACGTCAGAGGAGAGAAGAAGAAGAACGTCTTGCAAGGGAAGCTGCTGAAGCTGAGAGGAAGCGCAAAGAGGAGGAAGAGGCCCGTGAAAGAGCAGCACAAGAAGCTGCAGAGAAACAAGCTGCATTAGCTAAAATACGTCAAGAGAAAGCTGAGTCTCTTGGTGAAGAACCTGAAAAAGGACCTGATGTTACACAGGTACAGTATTAGAAGATTGAGCTATGTTTTATTTCTCCTTTAATGCCAGCATCTTTCATTAGTTTATAGAATTACTGTTAAGCTTATATAGTTTCATTTGTATTTAAGATCTCAGCTTTAATTCATATGATAAGGTTGAACTTAAAATTCTTGATCGTTTCACTTATATGCATGATGAATGATATTTACTTCTAGTTCTGTATGTTTTGGAATTGCTTTAGCCTCCCTCTTTAGTTTCTCTATTTTCAGTTCAGTTTTTGTTTGATTGTGTTGCAATTTACATGATAATTACATTTATGTTGATGAATGGATAGGTTATGGTACGGTTTCCAAATGGTGAACGTAAGGGAAGAAGGTTCCACAACACAGCGACAATTCAGTCTTTATATGACTATGTTGACTCACTGGGAAGTTTAGAAGCCGACAGTTACATCCTGGTATCCAATTTTCCAATTGTAAAGTATGAACAAGACAAACTGGCATTGTCTTTGAAGGAAGCAGGATTGCATCCTCAGGCCAGCTTATTTGTGGAGCTCACTTCATTAGAATGAAACTTGCCTAATACTCTTATGAATACATGAAGATAAGACCTGCAAATAGGGAAATTCTGTGGTGTTTCATTCTTCTGTCTAAAAAAATTGACTGGTTGAACAATTAAAATTATTAGATGCATAGGTTGTCGTGGTTTTTGTAGTTTTTATTTTTCTTATTTTCAATTGAATCAATCAAACAGATAGCGACATGTGGAGATGGTTTAGAATAATGATATATATATAATATATAATATATATTTGGCCCTTCCCTTAATTAGGAAGTTCCCAAGTGTTATCTGTCTGTATATTTTGTCTCTGATCATATATAGCATTCGACCAGTTACAGGGTTGGCACGAGCAGTACTTTTTTATAGTATTTATCAAAGGTAGTATCTGTTTTTGGTCTTAAAATATTGATTTTAATCCTCATAAAATTTATACATTGTTAGTTCTTATATAAAAAAAAGTGGCTTTAATCTCTTATTAGAGAGAAAAATATGTTTGTATCGAAATGTAACGACTAAAATATAAAATGTTTGAAGATATTAAAATGATATTCAAAATGGCTTTAATCTCTTATTAGAGAGAAAAATACGTTTTTATTAAAATGTAAAGACTAAAATATAAAATGTCTGAAGAATTAAAATGATGTTCAAAATATTGGAAATATGATCGCTTCATAGGAAATAATTATAATTAATTATACAATCTGTTGAAAAGAAGATGCTAAAAAGGGCAGCGTAGGGAAAGATCTAGTTATGGTTTGAGGTGGCAAGTTTCTTAGGACATGCAATGAAAAAAATTGGTGAATTTTGGAATTGTTGTTAAAGCAGAAATAAAAATTAGCAGCATTGTTAAGAGCTTAGGCTCTGATATCTGTGTTCTTGATAATATGTCCCACATTACTTATTATTGCCGTTGTTTCATCATACCATGTCAGGTACGAATAGGTGTTCTCTATCATGTCGTTACGAAGCTTATTAGTTTCACGATTTTGTTGATACTATTTAAAATTGATTTTTGAAGATTTAAAAGACAGCTCTTTCTGCTGAGAAAGAAATTATTTTTAAAATCAAGAACATTACCATCAAGTTCTTTTATACAAAAAGGCTCACTAAAATGCAAGTTTATTCGTCCAAAAGAATATTTTTCTGAAGGTTCTTTGGTGAAGAGGTCCAGTGTTATATTCTTGATCGAATGTGGTGCCTTCAACTGTTGATCGAATCAGCTGAAAGGTCGTTTTTCTGTGAAAGAAGTGACACACTAACCAACTATACCCTCAATATCACATCATTCCATCAGATATTTTTCCATACATTAAATTATTAGGATACCATACAAATTTCACCCACAAAAAAAAAAGACTTCTTTTAGTTTTATTTAAATTGGAACGGTTTCCATGGAAAATAAAAAGTGATCGAGGATTGCATCACCAAGGTTCCCCAAGCTGGCCCAAGATGCATAAAACAATATATCCAAATTATTATACCTTCTTACAATAACATGGATTTTCAATATACTGTTTTCATGATGATTCAGAACTTAAATAAAACAAAGAAATCAGCCCGGACATACTGAGGTGAAATGAGTGTAAAAATGGTGAAATGAGCATAATGACAAACACATAAGAAGCAGTTTAAAATGCTTAGTAGCAGTTTTCCCTGACAATTTTAGCCTTCTCAATAACAAACTTGCCTTCCTTGTACTTCTGAGATTCCTCATAGGCTCTCTCATACTTCCAACCAAGAACTTGTTTGCAGTCAGAACAGTAGACATCGGCAACAGTGTGGAGACCTGTCATTAGTTCTCTGTCTTCTTTTGATCCCACACTAACATTCAATGCATGACCAAACAGAAATGCTCTCCCACTTTTCCCCTGAAAATAAATTAAAACACTTCGTTTCCAATTAATTTTGAGAAAAATGCCCTTCTTTTTTGGCTCATATTTCTACAATTGGTAAAACTTTAAATTATTAATATTCAAATCATAAAATAATTTATGAGAATTAGAGTAATGGAACAAAATTAATAACTATTGATGGCATAATTATCAGAATCGTTTCAAAAGTATTGCAATAAAATAAACAATGCAGATGAATCATTAATAATTAAATGAATAAAGTGCCATTTCATTTTTGTCATTCAGTTCATTAAAATATTTTAAAAATTAGTTTTATTCCATCTCATCAATAAATTTTTCACAAACATTTTAGTGCAATGTTTCCATTTTGAATTCGAAATAGTTTATTATTATTATTTATAATACTCAAATTCTGTTTTAAAACTTTTCTCATATGGGAATCCAATAATATCCTCTTATTGCTATAAAAAGGGAGATTTGATGGTCATGTATTTACAGAATGGAAGGAGTTTTGTCTAAAGTTTACAAAATAAAGATACAAGATTTATAAAAGTTAAGATTTTGTGCTAAAGTTCATCATTTTCATAGAATGAGAAAAGTTGTGTTGCTTTTAGAAAATTACATTTATTAAAAAAGAATGAATAGAAAGCAAGCTGAAATTCTTCCAAAAATCTAATATATCATGTGATATGATCATGATAGCAGGGTATGCTGTGAACTGAACTGATAAAATGAAATTAATAACAGAATAAGAGATAAAGCTGACTGAGAATAGTGTTCACCTGAAAGGCCTTTGAAATCACATCATCATGAAGGGCAACATGGTTTCTACAATTAGAGCAACAGTACAATCTGGGTCCATTCACTTCCTCCATCTCAGGGATTTTCAGAACACAACTCACTCCTTTTCAACCAAGAACAGTTTAATCAATAGTGTTCATCAGATCATGAACCATGATCATAGCATTTTAGGTTTTCAGTTACAACTTGGAAATGAATTTGCAGGTACCTGCCTCTTGTAGCAGTGGATGATTGACTCTGCTTTACCTTCAAAGATCACCCCTTTTCTTAGTAACTTCTCCTTTTCAGGGCTTTCTTCTGCTTCCTCAGTCACAGAATGTGAGATTTCTCTCTCTAACAAGTTATATCATGGTGGGGTTTGATTAACACAGTGATTTAATTCCAAAGTTAAAAGATTTTCTATCACTATATAGTACACTTAAAAGTCTCTAGAGTTTCAGTGCCACCTATTTTTTAACAAAATGGTCGGTCACAGATACTGCTTTCTTAACACGTGTAATTTTTATTGTGAAGAACAGAGAAAAAAGATAGTTCTTCGATCCCCCACCTCCTATTTTGGGTCATTAATGAAAGTATGTCTCTGGATATATACAGAATTGATTTTAACTTTTCTTGTTTTTGTTTGATAGTGCAGAATGAGGATAATTCACCATAAAGAATATGAAATACTTTACATCTGATTATTTCATAACTTTGATTGCATAAGATCTTTTAAAAGACTGACGATAATTCACCACAATACGTTTATTATAAGAGACAAACTTTATGGTTGTAATTGCACCACATTTGTCAAATTCCTCTCTGATAAATGAAGGATTGAAACATCACAAAGTATCACAGTGGTGAAAGAATAATGCTGTAACGTATAAGTAGGCCCTTGTTATGAAAAGGGTAAACTCAAAAAATAAATCAACATGATGAATTATTGAGCATTGACATTGACACTGACATCTTTTCACATAGAGGCACCGATGATATGATTACTGACAAAACTCCCTCTAAAAATATTTAACATAGTTACGTAGCTAATACTCAAACCTGTTGATTTAAGCCTGTAATGGTAAAGGTAAAGGCATTTTGGCATCACATAGGGTAGAAAAGAGTGCAGATATCAGAAATCCAACGATGAGAAGTTGAAAAGTTGAAGTGAGTTGAGATGAGGTTGAGGTTGGGGTTGAGGTAGAAGCAGCTACTGGAATATTGCCAAATACTGTGGGATAAGAGGGTGCAGATGCAGGAGAAGATGCAGCATCCACATTTTCTGATATTCCTTCACCTACAGCTATATGAAGCTTCTGATTCTTTTGGCAATGGCCAGCCACACCACTAGTGAAGTAGAATTGGCCCTTCGATGTAATGTTAAACAAAGAGTTTCCATTGTTCATGTACAAGATAGGGTCTTTGATGTTGCACCTGTTGTAGGATTCTTCAGTAACTTGAATCACTGAATCTTGGCTTGGTGGGTATAGAAACACTGTAAGCATATACAATGATACACATGAGATCATCAGATTTGTACCCTTGTTGTAAGAAAAAGGGTCATTGGTGTAGAGTTGTATAAACCAAATTGAAAAACATGATATAGCAAATAGTGTAAACTTACGGAGGGAATCTCCAATTGTGAGATTGTGATATGTGGACCATTTTTTGTAGACTTGTGGATTTGTTGAGGTGGGTATGCCCCAAGCATCAAGATCTCCAACTTTGTATTGGTAGCAAAACACCTTGCTTTGGATTTGGACCAATGTGAGGAAGAGAAACGCCAATATTCTGTTGGGACTTGAAAGATTACCCATCTTGGTTCTTCTCAGTCACACTCACATTAGATTTTGGAGTTATAATCTAGGACCACTGAGATATGGCCAATGGAGAGTTGATAATGAGATCCAAAAAGAACCAGACTTTGAAGGTCAATTTACTTGAGTGCCCTTATTTCTTTGAGTCAAAAAATTTATACTATTATAATTCCTACATGATACAATTTATTGGTTGGTCTAGTTGGTTCTCATTCATTAGTTTTGTTCTTCTGAAAGAGACCTAGATTTAAAATGAAAACTGCAGAACATGGAAAAAGAAAGATGGTTAAGACTAAATAAGGTTGTCAAGAAGAGTAAGATATTGCTAGAAGAATAATATGGAAAAGAAAAATATTATTTGACGCATCTAAATTTTTTATATTTATTTTTTTTTATTTTTTTTAAAATACAAAAATTTATATTTTTATAATTATTTTACTCTGTCACTCCGTATTAAATAAATGAGAAAAAAAAGTAGTGCTGAGTGTAAAAACCAAGAGACAGATAAACTTGACAACTATATGCAATAATAATGTGCACATGAGCCAGTTGGCAAACTATATTAGTTTATGAGGTTTCTTCTTATATTAATAGTGTCTGTTAGTGTATAATTGCCTCACAATATTGCATTATTATGTGCTGCGAGGAAGAAAAACAGCAAACTTCTCCAGACACATCACATGGCTAGCTAAATGGGATGCCTGAAATCTGTTCATAAAAATTATTTATCAGAAAAAATTAATTGAAATTCTACATCAATAATGAAGTAAAAAATTTAAATCAATCAAAAGTTGTAAAAATAAACAAACACTGTAAATGTAGTTATTTTTTAACAAACTATTTGATAAAATTTATTAGAAGTTACAAAATTAAAAGTAAAATATCTTAAACACATTTTCAGCACGTCAACAACGCAGTATATTAAAAAGAATTTGTTGTTATTTTTGTCATGTAAGACGAGTTACGTACACGACAATAGTAATGAATATTGGGGAAATTTTGTTTGTTAAAATTTGTAGTAGATGTCTGTTGGAGCTAAACAGGAAAGTCAATGTTTACGGAGATTGTACGAGATGAGTGGTACAAAAGCTGTTTGATAAAGTAACAGTATCAGTAGTACGTATTAAAGTTAAAGGCATTGTTAAGCAATCCGTCCCAATAGTAATTTGAGGTTTTTCAGCAGAAGGAAAAAATTCTACAAATTTTATGCTTGATGGTCCAGATAAAGTAAAGATGAAAATTTTAAAATCAATGTAAAATTCATAAATTAAATACTTCAACTTCCACCACCGAATGAGGATAGTTACTTCCTTCCTTCAGTTAATATATAAATGGACGACCAACCAATAAATACGTGCTCATAACTCAATTGGATCATTTAACATAAGAGGATTAGCATTCAGATCTTACAATTTGAGTCAACTCTCAATATTATACTATTATAATTTTCAAACAAGTACTTTGTTTACAAATTAAACTCATCAAAAAATATTTTTTAAATTTATTAATCGTAAATATCCAATTCTTCTAACATATAGTATACATAATCATCCAATTAATAACAAAACATATTTAACGGATACATTAATAAAGTTTTAATCTAAGCAAAATTATTGAAGTAAATTTACCAAGAATTACTTCCAAGTAACTTTTTATTTGGGCTTTTAAGAAAAATACTTTCTTGATTAAAAGAAATCTTTTATAAGAGCATGGTAACTATAGAAGATTTTTTAAGAAAAACATCAAGACCTCAAAAAAGTTATTTTAACACTTTCGTATCAAACGGAAAACACTGGCATATGAAAAAAAAAAAACAAATATTGCATCATAAAATAACCTTTCCTTTTTAGGTTGAAAATGAGGTCCTAATTGAACAATCAATTGCTTAATGTTGGCTCGTGTAACATAATTAAATTGTAAAATTCGATGGTATAACGTAAATAGAATAGTACAACGAGAATATTTTAGCATGTTGAGTTTGATTTGATACAGAACCTATTTTTCGGGTGGTAGAATACAACAAGCCTATACAAGTTCAAATCCGATATAGTTTAAGGATAATAATAAAAAGAGTTCAATATATAGGGATGTTATTTCTGCCACGGGGTAGTCCCACAACTTTCTTATCAGTTATCACGATAATTCCGGATTAATCTGCAAACATGGCACGTTGCAGAAGGATACAGCAGAGAAGCTTATTTACATCTGAATTTTTAAATGAAATAAATAATGAGATTGACTATGACATATCATTTGCACTAGCTGGGCTTAGATAGTCACAAAGGCTTATTGAACACAAGGAAGGCTGGATCAGAAATATATATGACACTTACCAAGGACTATTTCTCCTTCAGTAAAGAGAGAATTGGAGTCCAAAGCATGATTGATCACTCGCCTGGATGTACATGTACATGTGCATGTACTTCATCAAAGAGGATCATAATTATCAACCTTCATGCATATTCCTCTCTTTCCCCATTTTGTTCTTGGCTGTAGACAGCAGCTAGCTGTTGTTGTAACTGTTCAAAGCGATAACCAGATCGATCATTAGTTTCACAGGAACCTTCAAAGCTTCAATTTAAATGGATTCAGCTTGGATATGAAATTTATGTAATCCAAGCAAGTAGCAGAAGAAAATCCAGAACAAATGGTGAAATATAAAATCTTGTACAGAAACTAACCTGCACGTATCTTAACTTCTCATAAGTTAGTTCGTCAGTCAAATTAATCATCCTGATAATACAATGCCAGAAGGTGTGTTAACTTCGTGAAGCAGAGAGAAATGGTGACCAGGAAAGCATTTTATGAGTTGATATTTACTAACCGAGATTGAAGTTCTGAAATTTTGGCTAGCAGCACCTGTTCCCTCTCTGAAACTGCTGTATCAACCTATAAAATGACGCAAATGTCAGGTAAGACATAAAGCTGATGAAAAATCACCGTGTTCTACTGCAGGTTTATGTGAAAAAAAAGAGGCGACTAGCTTTGAGCAGAAAATTGACACACAGTAGTTAATAAAAATTAAGCGAACAAGTGAAAAGAATTAATCTAACAAAATTTGCTTACACTTCCATTGTTTTCTGAATTGCGAGGCAATGGTGGCAATTTTCCATTCTGAGAAGCTGAAAAAATTGATTGTACTTGTTAGTTCATCCAATATTAAGGAAAAAATATCCTCAAACATAACCGATGAAAAATCCTTCACTCACCATCAATTGCCTCTGCGGATTGCAAGCCATTCAACATATTCATTATAAGATCCTGAAATTAAAGAGAACTTTCCAGTATGATTATAAATTGGTAGAAGTTACATTTAAAATTATCAGTTTTTCAGCAGACACACAAGCAAATTACGTGTCATTGCTCGAACTTGAAGCTTCTCTCACCTGTTGAATAGATGTCTGCTGGAGAAGATTATGAAGATGAGGCACTAGAAATGATCCAGGAATATTGATATTGGCAGAATCATTGGAGGACTGACCAATTGGCTGAAGAGAAATACATCCAACGAAAGACAGAGAAGTATTAGTTATCGAATACAATAATAAATGAAACATCCTACACAATCTGTAACCAACCAAAGAATCCAAATATTCAAAAAGGAAAAAAAAATGTTAAAGGAATTTGGGTATAGAACCAATGGAAATTGTACAAACCATTTGTTTGTAATCCACCATCCAATCACCAACACTGGCAGATTTCCTCATTGGAGACCCCTGAATGTAATGTAACAGGAAGAGAATGTCAGCTGAGGGATAAGAAAAAACATCAAAATATAAACAATAATCAATTACATCATCAACCAACCTGTGACGATCGGCGAGAAACTGAACTTACAGGAATATCCTATGCAATAAGATGAAGTCAGATAAGGTTGTCCAAAGGGTAAAATTGATTATTAAGAAAATGCATACCTTCACCAGATCTAAATTTTCTGATGTCACTGAAAACCGTCCTTTAATTTGCACTAGATTAGCCTTATTAGACTTATCATCCAAGGAATCTCTGAATCCTAGCAAGAATTGGGGAACAGAATCAGCACCAAGGTTTTAGATGGCTGATTAAAATATACTAGAACTTGTACAAATAGCCTTACGGTGTACATGATGATTCAAATACCTCCAGAAGATTTTATTGGTGCTGATAAACTATTTGCTGAAGCTCGGTTTGGAAGCATCAATGGACCACTAAAGCTTGGAGCTCGTCGAATATCACGATTACTTTTCTCACCTGACAACTGATTTTCATTCTCAAACCTAAAAGTAATAAGAGCATTACAAATCTTAACAAGCCAAAGATTGCATTATTGATAATATGAAAACCTCAATGGCCAAGTAGCATAAAGAGCGGAACCAAAAAGCATACATCGGATTTATTCATTCAAAATTCAAACTACACATTTTACACAGTGCATTTATGGACAACTCAAAAAATATAGACGGGATAAAGAAGATTATCCAGAAAATACGCACATTACAAAGATAGACTTTGAACTTACCAGAACTCCGTAAAAATAAAATAAGCTGATTGCCTTGTTTATTGGTCACCAGACATAGTTTCTAAGTTAAAGGCTTTTTCACACTATCAATGCAAATTCCAAAAGGAGAATGCATCCCAACTTGGAAGGTGTGTGCACACACGTGGATCAACTCATGTTGATGCGAATTAACGCTTTCACCAATTTGTAACTTTTCAGTGGATGACCATTGGATTATATTATCATAAAATCTATTACATCCAAAGCTTTTCAATTGGTTGTTCCACTGTGCTCACACAAGAACTACTGTAGAAGATGAAGTAAGATTTTGAGGAAAGTGCAACACAATGAAGGCAGGTAACTAGTAATAGGTTATAAATTATATTAAAGTTCTCAATATACATTTATAATTTACTAAGTATTAATATGTAGTATTTTTTTAGACATTACCTTATCTAAATTACAGGATTTTGTCATTGATACAAAAAAAAACACAAGCTATTCATGAGTTTTAAAATTAAAACCTAAAAGATTTATATAACAAATCTGAATTCAAACTTTGAGCTTCTTATTTTAGTATCACAAACAAGTTTATTTAAATATTTAACAAGTCAAGCTTGAAAAGTTATGAACAGTTCAACCCTTTTAAAGC